GAATGGGTCCGGCGAGTAGGCCTTGAAGGCCCTTTTCACCATTGTTGACGGTTTTCTCCACAGTATTTTGAATGTTATCGAAATTCTATTACTTAAAGTAAGTTCTTTTCAACAATTAATGCGACTCAAATTACATTTTTCTTTATAGGAAAAATGAATAATTATTCGAGTAGCTGCAACTGTAATTTTTACATAAAATTTCCAATATATCAAAAACGGTTAGACTTGGAATTTGGAGTAGAATTTAAAAATGTAATAATATATAGGGTGTTCCATTTAAAGTTAGCAAGTTGATGCCTACTTCCGGTATAACCGGAAGTGTGGCCATCTCGAAAATACTTTAGATCGCTTGCCCCCAATGACTTCGATACACGGTCCAATTTTCAAATTTCTCCTAATTACAGTTTGCAAGATATCGATCTCGGCAGTTCCCGGTGGGACACCCTGTATTGGCCTTGCTGTGTTGACAATGATAGGGTATAATCTTACAAGGAGTAGAACCATTGCAATAGTTGCAGTGCGAAGAAGATGCTTTTTGAAGCGCTCGAATAATGGTTATCCTAAATAGGAGACTAATTTTCTTGCATTACAGATTTCGTGTTATGATTCTAATTAAGGGCTTCTATCGGCCCTTAGCAATAGTTTTAAGGATAAGTTATTGTTAATTGTTTTAAATTGATTCGACTGACTTCGCATTTTGTTTAGACCTTTGTCACATCTAGTTGCATGGCCCTTAATATTTTTTTAAATTTCAGATGATGGTAAAATTGGTACCTTAGCTCACCTTCCAGAATCTGAATTAGAGTCTCACGTATTTAAAAATGACGACGAAACATTTTCCGAGTTTACTGACAGAATATCCGAATATCCTGATCAGGTTATCAGGTATGATCGAGGAGGAGCACCGCTTCTCATAGCAGACTCTCCGTTGCCTTCAAATATACCAAATTGCGAGTATTGTGGACAAACAAGGCAATTTGAATTTCAAATCATGCCTCAACTTCTATATGAGTTACATGAACTTGTACTTGATTGGGGAATTTTATTAATTTTTACCTGTAAAGATAGTTGTATAGGCGATTCTATAAACAGTTATAAAAAAGAGTTTGTATTTAGACAAGATGTTACTAATGTTGATATAAAAAGTAATCAAGCAACAGATGAGAAGAAAACTTTCAATTAATGGTTGCTTTACTAAATGGTATGTGGTTACAGAACATCATATGCAAAATGTATTTTGCTTGTAGGAATTGTGAATATTAGATCTAATATACTTACCAGATTTGCCTCTTATGTATATGTATAAATATATATATATGTGGTTACAGAACAGTGTACACAAAATGTATTTTGCTTGCAGGAATCGTGAATATTAGATCAAATATACTTACCAGATTTGCCTATCGAGAGCTTGTAATAGATTCACTTGAACCGTCCGAGAAGTTTAAAATATTTCAAGTTACCTCAGTAAAGAAGAAGTTCGTACGTTTCAATTTTCATCAATTTATTTAAAGTATATTTCAGTCAAATAGGATCATTTCTCAAACGATAAACTTGTGTGGTTTAATGATGCTACTGCTGTCTCAAAACTCGGGATTTTTACCGAGATTCATTAAAATTGGCTTGATTTCTATGAAGGAATCTTACTGAAGTATAAATATAAAATACTTTTACAATTACATTGTTTTATATGTTTCCTGTTAATTTTGTTGACAATTTAGTTCAGATAAAAGTGGGTACGTTAAACCGTTTTTTTATATTTCTGTTCATGTACAAATTTCATTTTGTTATTTTTGAAAGGGAAATCAAACGCTTTAATTTGAAGTGAACCCGCGCTGATGATGAGGCTAATAACGACGACATCTCTACCTATGAAAGACTTAGAAACGACCCTGCGGTGCATTTTTTGGGACGTACCTATATTCAAAATCACGGAAAGCAAACCACCACCTCCTGTGCCTGCGCCATGTGGCAATTACAATTTATTCAGTCATGAGACTGAAGACTGCAAGCAATCGCCAAGGTGCAACGAATGCCAGGAACCCCATCCAACTTCCAAATGCGAATCACCACTGCCAACTAAGTGCGGCGCATGCAAATCTAAAGAACACGCAGCATGGAGCATGAAGTGCCCAAAAAGACCAACAGCCCCAATAGACGGAATTCCAAACGTCAAGATAAAATGCCTAAACAAACGGACGACCGAGATGGCAGAAACGATAACAGCGGCAAGTAGGATACACACACCCATTACAACATATGACTACACCATAAACAAATACAAACATCAACTTAACAATATAACAGAGACGAAATAATCAGAAAATTGCGAAAACAATTTATCGATTACTTCGACATCAATACATTACGTTCTTCGGAAATCACATATACATCTTAATGTCTGACCTGCTCTTTCCCCAAAGATACCCCCTGACCGAACCGCACAATAACTTACCACAGACAGTAACAAATATACAAAGTTAAACCTAAAGATGCTTTACGCCAACATCAACGGACTAGACAATAAAAAACTACAAACTTACAATTACATTGAACGTAATGACGAACGTATGTTTGTAGAAACAAAAACTAAACTGGGACAAACACCGACATATGTAAACGTAAAAATGTATACGCCGTGTATATGTAAACATGGCAACACTATAAGCAATGCCAGAGGGGGTACGACAGTGTTATTCAAACCAATAGTTAAATTAGGCAAAGCAAACGTGTGAGCAACCGTGAGAGCAAACCGTTGAGCATCACACAACATGCACTGCTTTCACTTTACGATACCTTACCTCAATAACAATATCCACGTTTTTTATATTATATATAAACATATTCACCCGTACTCAAACATAGAACCAAACTTACTAGCAAAAGCATGCCCATACAAATATGCCATTATATCGGAGATTTCAACCTTAACAAAAGCAAAACAACTAAACATTTTCCTTAGGAACACGGACTTTAAAAAACACAATGTGCCACCAACATTCTTAATGCCTGGAAAACCAGATTTGACACCAGACATCCTTTTTTATTCGGAAAACCTGACAAATTGCATAAACATCTTTTAACATTGACCTACGGCATAATACACGACAGACGTCCCAGATAAAAATCCTCGTCGCTAATGATAGAATAAACAAGACCGATACGGACAAGGTAAAACAGTATATACATGATTACACTCAAATACACACGAACTGGATTTCCTTAGAAGACTTGTTCAGACAGCAACAACTGAGTTTGGAAATTACAAAATTTTCAACTAAAACAAAAAACTCTTTTTACCGGCATTCTCTACCCCGCTTTGTACTGAGACTGATAAAGCACAAAAGAGAGCTGTACAGACTTTACACACAACAGCGATTTAAAAATAACACTTATTTCATTAAACAGAAACATTTAAACATTGGTTAATCAATACAGGAAAGACAAATAGCTGGAGACATGTCGGGACATAGAGAAAGACCATGAAAGATCGTACTGGCAAAATATAAAAAAATTGTCAAGGTACCAACATACAGGAAGGATTGGTACTATAGACGAGAACGGAATAGAATATCACACCGGCAAAGACAAATCCGACGCATTCGCCAAATACTTTCAAAAAGCCTTCAGTACCACAAAAAACCAAAATTTGAGGACCACAACCGGAACACAGTAAAAAGCTGGTACGGCACTTATTTCAACAAACCATCAAGAAATCACAGACAGCGAATATAACGAAGCACATTAGTGTACTAGTGTATTAACACATGAAACATACAGCACCGGGAAAAGACTTTATCAAAAGTGAAGTACTAAAAAACCTAACAGCAGAGACAAACGACGTCATACTAAAATAACTGAACAATTATATCAAAAATAACCAAGTCCGAAATTCATGGAAGAACGACATAATTATACCAATACGAAAGAATGGATTAAACGATACACAAATACTACAGACCCATAACGTTACTACCGGTACTGAGTTAACTATATGAACGCAAAATTAAAACAGACTTTACGGCACAATAGGAGAACACATACCAATTTGGCTTCAAAACGATGCACTCGACCATGCATCCACTGTTCATCTTAACGAACAATCTACCCACTTAAATGGACATAAATCAACTGCTCTATTCATGTACATCAACAAGGCGTTCGACAGTGTATGGCATAAAGGACTTACTATACAAACTACACACATCAAAATACCTAATACACGTAATCAAGGATCTACTGGAAAACAGACTACTCGAAATTCGGATCGATCATACACTCTCCTTCCCATTTTCTCCAGAGCAAGGACTACCACAAGGTTCACCCCTTTCACCATTTTTGTACAACATATAAGTACTGCCATGACATATATAATCACAACCTACGAGACAAGAAACACGTAGACACATCAGAATACATACTACAATATGCAGACGACCCTGTAGTGGTCGCACATGACATGTCATGTGCCACCAGCACATGACAAAACCACACATAAGGCTGATCTGGTGTGCGATTTAATTTCCGCGTGTCAAATAAAATTTCAGTGACAAGTGCGATCTTTTGTAACGGACAATTCCGCTAATATGACCGCAATGAGGAAAACCTTAGAAGAACGGACGAACTCTGAAGTTATATCTTATGGTTGCTCTTCGCATTTACTAAATCTGTTTTGTAAGGATTTACAGGTGCAAGATGTCAAAGAACACATAGTCCAAATTGTTAAATATTCCCGCAACAATCACATGGCCAAAGCCAAATTCAGTGCAGCTGGAGGCAATGGACTAGTACTACCTAGCGATGTTCGCTGGAACAGCGTGGCCGACTGTTTGGAAGCGTATGTCACACAATGGGACATCATTCTCAACATTTGCGAGGATAACTCAAAAGATATCGATTCTGCTATATTCAAAAGAGTACCTGAGCCTCCTGAAGCCTATTGCTGTTGCACTGGATATACTCCAGAAGGAAAATGCCACAATACCTGATGCCGTAGAGCAGTGGAAACTTTCGATAAGTTTGAAGAAATTTATCTTTAGAGAAACTACAGAAGTTTCAACATCGCTATAAGCAAGCTCTTACACCTTATCCCTTTATTGCTTACATGTTAAGCCCGGAGAAAGAAAACTACGCTTTAACTCCTGAAGAGAAGAATCTGGCTTTGGAGACTATCAGTGAGCTTCATGGAAACTCGAGATTGTTGCCACTAGTTATTAAATTCAACGCTCGCTGCAGTCCTTTCAAATAAATTATGTTTTCTGATGATATGCTGAAAAATATGAACGGACTTCAGTGGTGGCTATCACCGAGAGATGAACCGGAAATTGCGAAACACTTGCCCACTATAAAACAGTTTCTTTGTGCAACTGCATCGTCTGCGTCTGTCGAA